GTGCTGGGTCCCTCCGTCCCTCTGCCTGGTGCTGGCAGATGATGGGCAGCAGCAGGGCTGGGCTGGTGGCACCGGTGGGCACAGGGGGCGAGGGGCTGAGCTTTGCTTTCCAGCACACCTGAAGCTCCTGCGCTCTGCTGAGCCTGGGAACGCAGAGGTGACATTTCCTGGGGCAGCCAGAGTGGGGGAAATCTCTGCAGCAAGGGAAATTCCAGCCTGCTGGAAAGTGTGCATCGTGGTGCAACTCCAACCCCAAAATCGAGCCCCCCTCTTCACTCTGCTTGCTCCCCTCTTTTCACACGTGCAGTGGGGGCAAGAGGGGCTGCAGCCCCCGGTGGGCACCCCAAGGAGCCCCAGGAGCTGCTGCTTAAGGGCCACAGCAGAGCTCAATTTGCTCCCTGCAGTTTCCTGCGTGCCCAGGCTCAGCTGCAGCCGGCAGAGCATGAAGCAGCTTTGCAGGTGCAAAGGCAAATCTGTCTGCCTGGCAGCTCCCGGATTTCAGAGCCAGGGCACAATGACACAGCTCCGCTCCAACGGCTGCGGTGCTGCCAGCTTCATCCCAACCTTGCTCTCCACCTGCCATCACTGCACCACAGTCAGCACTGAGCGCAGCGCTGCCCTCTCGGCTGCTATTGAGAAAATGAAATTTAAGGGAAACTCTCACAGAGAGGAGCGGTTGTGGCTCCAGCCCCACATGAAGGCTCAGGGCGCCTTCATAAAGGGGTGTTTCCAGGGCAGGTCTGCACCTGCAGATGGCCGCAGCCTCAGCAGAGCAGTGCAGGCGGCCGTGGTGACCAGAGATAACGCTGGAGTCCGCACAGCCCGGGGCTCTGGAGAGGACCAGGAACACGAAGCAGAAATATCAGATAATTCCCACACAACACTTCATGCGCTAAATATCTGGCTGTGACTCTGCTGACACCCGGCTTCATAATTGGATCTGCCAAAAACCCATCACACGTAACGTGCAGCTGCCACCAAGGCAGTGCTTTCATGCCGCACCTCAAGCCTGACGCTGGATTCCCCCTCTCCCGTCCCCTTTGTGGGCTGGATCCGTCCTGGGAGCCTGGAGCTGCCCGGCCAGCAGAGCCTGTGCTGGGGACCCACTGCAGCTCCTGCCGGCCCCATCACAGCATCCCCCCACACAGGAGAGCTCAGGAAAACCCCAGAAGTGCGCTGGGCTCCGGTCCCAGTAAACCCACCTGAGTTCCACCAGGCAAGGAGCAGAAGATGTGATGGGGATGTTCTGTGTACCGGCACCATTCATTAGCTGATGTAAATGAGCTTCGTATGTTACTGCATTCCTGATTCACTGTTTGCAGGAGAAGGACAGAAATGTGTTCCTTCAAACTTTGCAGGGCCCAGTCCTGCAGACCCCTGGTTCCCTGCCCACCATAAATTAGGGGACCCCTGGGAGGTGCTGAGATTGGGAGCAGTTCTGTGGGATGGGGATGGGGATGGGATGGGATGGGGTGGGGTGGGGTGGGATGGGGATGGGTGGTGCCAGCAAGGCTGTGGTGGTGGCAGTGAGGTGTGGGAGCTGAGCAGCCTGCGGTTGCTGAGCACACGTGTACCTGTGTGTTTTTCACCTGAGTAATCAAAGTCTTTATCCAGTGTTTGATTAAAGGCCACGAAACACATTATCTTTGATTCTTTCACTTTATTTTTTGTTCCCTTCATTTGTCCCTTGGAGATGAGGGTTGCTCTGGTAGTTATTAGTCACAAAGCCCTAACCTCGCACTGCATTCTTGCTATCTGCGAAATGAATTATTAATGGTGCATTAAACAGAGACTGGAAAGGGGCCCTGGGACACTGATAATCAGGAGCTAATTGAGGAAGAAATGAGATACGGCTCTCCTTGCAGAGTGAGGGCTGTGCAGATACCGAAGGTGACCCCACTGCACCTCCTGCCCCACCGCAGCGAGCAGCTGCTCAGCTCCTGCTGGCGGCCAAGTGGGCACACAGCTGGGCAGCGCTGTGGGCGGGATGCTTTCCTCTGTGATGCTCTCCTGGAAGGGCTGCGTGAGGAGGCAGGAGGATTTGTACCCCGGTGCCCTTTATTTATTGCCAGGCGCTCTGTCTGGCACCGGCTGTGGGTCCGTTCCTGCCTGCTCTTGGATGCTGTGGGCATGGGGAGGTGGGGGCTGCCAGGGCCCAGCCCAGCACGGGAGGAGATGCATCTCCCCTCCCTCTCTTCTGCAATGAGAGCTGAACAATTTCCATCACCTTTTATTTCTTCTCTTTTACTATTTCTCTACACCATGGGCCCGTCGAGATTTTCTTTCCCCGCTCCAGCTGCATTAAAGCATAAAAAATGTCTCCTCTGGCCAAGCTAAGCAGCAAACCTGGGTGAGCAACGCAGCTTCCTGCGGTGGCTTCAGGCAAAGCCGTGATGGGGCAGCGATGTCCTGTCCACACCGTGTGGGGCCTGAGGACGGCTGGAGTTGCCTGCAGCCAATGCACAGCCTGCAGAGCTGTGGAGGCACAGCGTGGGGCTGCGTCCGTGGGCAGAGCTGTGCCTCTGTTTCCCCAGCACAGACCCGCAGCATCAGCATCCAGCACAGCAGGGATGCGTCTGCCCCCGACCCAATGGGGCTGCAGGGAGGTGGGGAGCCTGCAGGGAGGGCAGCCTGCATCTGGGGGAGGGGTGCTGAGAAAGAAAAACGAGAACTAGGCTTATTCTGCAGGGAGATGGCTATTTCTATCGCTGGAGCAGCGTTGGCCTCGGTGACATTCTCTGAGCCGCAGAGGCAGCCGTAACCTTCAGGAGATGGCAGGCAGCAGTGGGGAGCTGTGGGGAGCTGCTGTGCCCCACCACCCCACCAGGTGCCCCCCCCAGCCCTGCCCTGCTCTGCCCTTCTGGGCTCAGGGTTCAATGCTCGGGGTCTCAATGCTCGGGGTCTCAATGCTCAGCAGTCCCTCTGCCCCGCTCAGCCCAACTCCCCCCCACATCAACATTTCTGTGCCGACGCTTTTCTGAACAGGAAGCTTGGTCTGGAATTTCATTTAAACATTAAGTGTAGATAATTTATTTACATTTAATGTAGCCATCGGGTCCCACCTCTGAAATGTCTGTGAGCTTTGCAGTGTGGCTGGGAGGTGAGCTGGGAGCCAGGGGCTGGGCCTCCTGGCAGTTTGGGTTTAATTTTCCTCCTACAGCAACTGAAGCCGATGTGATTCGTCTCTCATTAGGAAGAAGCACAAAACTCCCCTAAAACAACAGTTTTGTCTGGAACATGTAATAACACCATCTTTCTTCCTCCCCTTGCCTTTGATAACACCACCCGATCCCTTCAAAGTGTTGCTCTTCCTTAAATATAAGTCTATTAAAAATTTAAACTGCTTTTCTATACAATAAAATTTACTCCCTGCAATTATGCAGCAGGACTGGTTATCTCATCTTTCGTAGGTTTTAATTAAAAGTTACAGGGGGAAGGGAAGAACAACTGCTGTGCACTGCCATTCGTTGCCACGCACTGCCAGAGCCCTGCCTTCTGTGCCGGCGCCTTTCCCAGCAGCAGGACTTGGTGCTCACAGGGGTGCTCAGGTGAGCAGCTGGGGCTCAGGGATGGATGTGGGGCCTGGGATGGCACCCGGCCTCCAGCAGCAGTGCAGCCCTGGGGATCTGGCAAAGAGGGCAGTGGGGCACAGAGCCGCTCTCCTCCTGCCTGGATGTTTCTCAGTATTAACACAGGGATCATCAGAGCAGGGTTGGCACCTAAAAATAGTCAGTGCACGGGATGGAGTGGGGGTGGGGGTGGCCTCAGGAGTGAGTGGTGCTGAGCAACCCTGTAAACACGGCAGTGATGTCCCCGGTGCCCTCTGCTCCTTCCAGCTGCTGTGGGGCAGGAGGGGGCAAACTGCACCCCATGTCCCCTGCTGTGGGCACAGAGCATCCCCGCCACGCAGCAGCCTCTGAACTCTCCACTGTGCTGCATAACCAATGGATCCACGTCCTGATCCGGGCTGGGACGAAGCACCCCGGCACGGCGCACGTCCCATCCTGATGCTCTGCTTTGCGCAGCGCCGGTGGAGCAGCGCCTGTCCTCCCATCTGCGTCTCCACCACGGCGTCCCCCAGCTGTGGCCCTGCGCACCCTGCAGCCCTGCAAAGTGCCTTTGACCCGTGATGGCTGGAAGCGTTCAACCCCCCCTGGTCTCCCCATTGCCTCCCCCTTCTCCCAGCCACGAAGATGCATCGATCTGGATTTGAAACGTGTATGAAATCTTTACGGGCTTTTTGCAAAGATTTTAATTCCCTGACAGAGCTGCTCTCACCAAAGAAAAAAATCTATTTATGACTCAAGGAGCAATTATAGGCTTAGCAGCTGCTGAATGGCCGCGGCAGCTGCTGGAGCAGCTTGGCACGGCTCAGCACGGCCACCGAGGAGCCAGGGAGGCTTCCTGGAAAGTGGAGCTGGGACCGATTCCTCCCAGGGCAACGGCTGTGCGGGGCCTGGCGGGGCTCCCCATCTCTGCTGGCTGCACCGTGTCCCCCTGTGCCCGTGGGCTGTGGTGGGGACTGCGTTGCTTTGCCCTTCCTCTTTGCGCCATGCAGAAGAATAAGCTTTGGTGCCGTAGGCTGGAGATTGCTCTGAGCCAGTCGAGTAGGAAGGAGATGCGGCTGGGCTGCACTGTGCAGGAAGTACAGCAGATTGTGAGGATAACTCCAGTGAAAACATTTGTGTGAAGAATTTAATCAGCAAAACCCATTTGTTTAATGGTAAAGAGCACCTGCAGAGCCACACTCAAAACCTCAGCTGGTGCAAATCTGTGCCCTGTTAAGAGTAATTGGTGCCACCTGGTCTTCTGCCTTGAAACAAGGCCTCCCCCAGCTGCAGGTGTGTTCACAATCCTCAGTCCTGCTGCTACGGTGGAAGCTGGGGGTTCCCAGGGCAGCCTGTGGCTGGAAGGTAGGGGATGGCCAGCTGTGTGTTTGTGCTGGAGAGGGGCAGGAAGAGGCTGTGAGGGTTAATGTGAGCAAAGAAAGGATGCTGGAGCTACGGCCCTGTGTGCTCCTTGGAGGGGGTGGCTATGCAGGTGGTGACCAGGAAGGGGACCTGGGGCTGACCAAGCAAAGCCGAGTGCTGCTGGGCCACCAGCACGCAGCCTGATGTCTGAGGCCCAGAAACTGCTGCTGAGGGCTCTGCTTCTGCGCCCATGGGTCGCACCTCCTGGGGCTGAGGGTGGCCTGCGAGCACCCACTGTGTGCTCAGCAGAGCTCAGCACCCAAAAGTCCTCAGCCCCTCTGCCGGCAGCTCCAGGGCCCATCGGACATCTCTGTCCTGGCATCGGTTCTGTTTTTATGGCAAAGCAGTGTGTGGGTGAGAGCTGCTGGAGATGAGAGTCCCTGAGTGCATCTGCTCAGAGCTCCTGGCCGGGGAGCCCTGCGGGGCAGAGCAATTCCCTCTCACCCGGGCTGCAGAGCTTAATTAGCAGTTCGTGAAGTGCTTTGAGATCCTCCGTGCGATGTCCTGGAGGAGGGCAAAATGTGGTTACATAACGTGTCCAGACAGACAATTCCTTGGGGTGGGGAGCGGGGCTTTTAAAAATCTGCTCTCCCGTGTCAGCACCGTGCAGCCCCACTTAAAGGTTCTGGGAGCTGCTAAAATATTAATGACAGCAACAGTGATAGGAAAACACGCTTTCGCACTCTGAAGGATGTTGATCTCGGCATGAGGAAGCTGGATGTCAGCAGAGCAGCCTTTGCCTTGCAGGTGCCTTGCGCTCCAGCAGCGATGGCTTAGGATCAGCCAGCAGCCCCATTTTGTGCTCCCAGAGCATCTGAACCCTAACCCCCTCCCCTTCCCCCCCCCCCCATGCACCCTGTGTGATGCACAGCAATGGCTCCGTGCTCCGGGTCAGAGCCACCAGCAGAACCTCAGCTCCCCTGGTGCCGCCTCCGCTGCTCCTGGGGCGTGAAGTTTATGTGAGGCTGAGCTTTCTGCTGATGCTCACACCTACAGGATGTGGGAGCCTTTTCTCAAGGGTGATGGGGAAAGCAAAACTGAGACCTGGGTGCGTGGTGTTGGTGGCACCATCTGTCCCTAGCCCTGGGCGCCCTCTGCTCACCCTTCTCTGTGTCCCCCCTCCCCCCCCCCCGGCACCCCCCGACCCCAACCCTTTGGGGGCGATGTGCAGAGGCAGAGGCGGGCGGGGGGCTCAGCTCCGTGGGTACCCCGGGACAGAGGGGCTCCCGGACCGTGCGGGATGCGGCCCCGGGATGCGCGCGGTACCGCTGGGGGGAGCGGGGGGACGGGACCGCGGCGGCGCGCGCGCTGCCTTCATCCCCCCCTCCTCCTTCTCCTCCTCTCTTCCTCCTCCTCCTCCGGGAGCGCGCTCGCCCAGCCGGGAGCGAGCAGCCGGCGGGAGGATGCTGCAAACGGCGGCGGAGGCGGGCGGCTGGGCAGGTAGGGCGGGCGGTGCGGGGGCCGCGATCCGGCGCGGGGTCGGGACAGCTGTGGCCAGAGCGAAGTTGTGGGAGGAGGGGGATGCGCCGGGAGGCTCCGAGGAGCAGAGCCGGATTCGTGCCGGGGTCAGCGCCGTGCCCGCGCCGCAATGCTCCGCTCCGTTGCCCCTCTCCATTCCGGCCGTCCCCCCGGCGCCCGGGAGCGGGCAGCGCCGTGCCTCGGGGCGGCAGAGAGGGGACGCAGCCTCAGCTCCGCTGCCCCACTCGGAAGGCGCCGGGTCGGAAGGGAAACTTGTTCCGAGGAGCCCGGCAAGAGCCCCGGCTGCAGCCCTTCTCCTCGTGCTATTTCAGATCACCGCAGGTCCTCGACCCGCGGGGTGTGAAGCGTCCCCCGGTCACGGAGTCCCTGTGCGCCCAGCGGCCATCGGGCACGCAGCGTGCGGCCCACGCGGGGCCGTGACCGCGGGCAGCAGCTCGGCCTGCGGGCCGCGTGCCGGGGTGGCCGCGAGCCGTCGGGGGTGGCGCGGCCCGTATGGAGCCGCGGCTGTGGCCGCCCGTCTGCGCTCGTCACCGCGTGGCACAGCTGGGCGCAACCGCTGAGTGCCGCTGCCTGCGGTGCCGGCTGCGATGGAGCGCGGCGGGGTCGGCGCTGAGCTCGGAGCCGCGGTTCCCCGCGAGGCTGCGCGGGAGGTTGTAAGCCTTTAAAGCGAAGGATTTTTCCTGAAGGCGCACAGAACGCTTTTTGTCGGTGAGTCGAGCAATGGGCCGGGAGGGCGGTGGGGTGGGATGGGAGCTGGGACGCTCCTCACCCGGCGGGCTGCCCGCGCCTTCAGCCCTCAGCGCCGTGTTCTGCTGTAAGCCCGAAGCAGCGCTGTTGTCTCCGGAGCGCAGCCCGAGTTGTGCTGCGCTGGGCTGGGAGCAAACCCTGCCCACAGGGATGGGACGGGACGGTGCGTCCGACCTGCCTGCTGTGTGGCAGCTGCTGCTTCGCAGGTGTTTTTCTGTGGCTCTGGATGGGACAGGAACCGCCCTGCTGGCTGCAGGCAGAACTCTGCTAACGATGAACTCTCACCATGTGTGGAGTTCAGAATCAGGCTGGCAATAATGTGTGCTGTGGGATTTTTTCCTTGTCCTGTAATCCGCCGCATGCATTTATAAAACCAGCTCTTATAATCCTGCGTGCAAATGTGCAAAGCTCTGCGCTGAGCTCCTGGTGTGCTGCGCTGTGTGCCCTGTGCCCATGCTCAGCTCCTGCATCGTGTTCTGTATGATGTGCTCCCCAGCGTTGGTGTCTGCTTGGATGCTTTGAAAAAAGAGCCTGCACCCTGTGCTGATATACTCGGAGATCACTGGGGAGATCTGTGTGCTTCCAGGAGTGTGACATGAAGCTGACATCAAATAAATGAGGATCTGTGCATGGATGCTCTCAGCAGAGTGCTGGAAAAGTTAATTGAATTGCTTTATGCTATGGAGTTTGCAGGGTGGGAAGCAGGCAGGTCCTGGAATCACAGCGTGGAGGAGAGGGGTGGGAGCTGCTTCAGCTCTGCTGCTGTCGAACCCTTGTCCCAATATCTCGGCCCGTTTGGGAGCTGTGCCGGAATGTTCTGAGCCCCCAGATTCTGCAAACCCTTCGTCGTTCCCAGAGGAAACAAAAATGCAAAAGCGTGTGCTTGGAGTGGGGTAATGAAGCCCAGGAGGCTCTGTTTGTCAATTCAGAAACAATATTGCGATGTTCAGAAACTGTTTCTTAGCAGGATGCTCTCAGACTGCCTCCAAAGGAGTGTCGTTATTTGTATGTCAAGAAGCCCCTGTCAAGAAATGTATCTGCTCTCAAGGAAAGTCAGTCCGTGGCTGTGTGGAAACAGTTGCTCATTTCTAATTGGAGCTGCAACAACTTACTGGCGAGTTTTAAAAGGGGACCTGTGTGCTTAGGGAGCTGTGGGGAGCTTGGGAGCAAGCTGCGCACTGGGGGCACATTGGGGTTCCTGGCTGCCCACGCAGTTCAAACCATGACTGCAAAAGCAATCCTGTGCTGCACGGTGGGGAGCTGCACCCCCTGAGCCCAGGGACTGTGAGCCCCATCTGCAATGAGGTTGGTGCTGCCCGGGGGGCCCAGCTCCCACCCTGCGCTGCACACGGCTCAGGGCTGTTTTGAAATGGGAACATTCCCGAGCCACGATTTTCTCCAGCCTAATGATGGAAATTTTTTAATTACTTGATAAGAAAGATCACTTGGAAACTGCAAGGGAAACGATTTGAGGTTAAGTCCTAATCCATGGCCGTATCTGCCTGAAGACAGGAGCTGCTCCTCCTGCACGGAGCTCGGGAGGGCTGGAGGAGGTGGGGGTGTGGGGGTGCACGGTGCCATGGGGAGACGGGGGGCTCCTGCAGCCGCTGCCTTTGGGACTCTGCTGCCTCTGAACGGGGATGGGCGCTGCGGAGCACGGCACGGTGCTCCTTCGTAAACGTGGCAGAGAACAGAGACTTTTAGGCGTTTTGGTCTGAGCCTCTCAGAGGATGAGAAGTGGGGGCTGCTGACCCGACCGCAGTGGCAACTGAGGAGTGGTTTGGGAGCCCTGTGGTCTGAGCTGCAGGAGAGCCCCTGTCTGCTTGGGCTGCTGCAGCAAAGCTTTAGTGGAGCAGCAGTGAAAGCTCAGTGCTGGGGGCTGATGGGCCCGCACAGCCCCACTCTGCTGCTGCTTGAGGGTGCAGGCAGTGACTCGTGAGCGCGGATCTTTGGTAGAGCTGCAGCCACGTGAGCAGGGCAACGGAAGCTCTGCGCTCCCTCATCCACCACCAGAACCATCCTCTTTTCGCTCCTTGGTCGATCTGCAAGTGGCAAAGATGGAAAGGAAAAGGGAGGTGGGAAGAGCAGCTGTGAATCAACGCGCTTAAAACCCCAAAGACTTTGCTCTGGGGCAGGTCGGGGCACCGCGGGTGGTGCAGAGGATGGGACGCGCTGCCATCCCAGCGTGGTCCTTCACGAGCTGCCCCGGCCCGCTCCCAGCCCCGGAGCGGCCTCATCCCCCACCAGCCGATGAGCGACCCCCAGAGGGGAAGCAGCCCCGGGGGTTTCTCCCTCTGCTCCTCCCGGTGCTGAGCCGGAGGTGCCGCGGCTCCTCGTGCCGTGACCTCGTGCCGAGCTCTTGGAAGCGCTCCGGGAGCAGCGCCGAGCTGCCGGCAGGAGGGAACAGCCCGAGGGCAGGCGGGGCTGCGATCCGCGAGGCTCCTGCTGAATCAAGGCCTCTTATATTTGTACTTTTTTGAAGTGTCGCTTTTTCTGTTTGCCATCCGGGGGGCCCCCCCCCGCCCGCGCTGCATCCCGAAGAAGCGCGGAGCGGAAAGGCGCAGCCCTGTTTGGTTTGGTCGGGAGCGCCGCTGCTTTGCATTCGTTTGAAGTGCTGGAAGCGGCTCAGCCCAGAAGATGTACTGTGTGCCACACGGCTGGAGTTTCTTTTGAGGAACCCTGAAATGTTTACAGAGGGAGGGGAAAAAAACTCCCTGACAAGAGCAGGTTGTTGCTGAGCCGGCGGCTGCCAGGGCCGCGTTGGTACGGGAGGGGCACAGATCTGCAGCGTTGGGACCCTCAGAGCAGAGCCCACACGAAGGCAAAGCCTGTAAATATCCCACCTCCAAATTTTCAAGAAGTATTAGGAACTCTGCAGGCTTATTTCTGAGCATCATTATGAAAGGGCTTTAAGGGATTAATGCCTGCTCGGATTAATCTCTGCTGCTGAGGCCCAGTGCGTGGAACGAGCACTTTGGGGGTGCTCTTGGGGGCACGAGGGGGGTTCTGAGGTCACCACTCCCTGTTCTGCTCCTGTGGCCACGGCTGTGGGGTGACGTGTTAGCAGCAGTCCCCCATCCATCCCGATGTCCTGCTCCCAGGATATCACAGCACAGTTGGGCACACTGGCCCGGCCAGCAGCTCTGCATTTCTAGGTCTGCAGATTTTCACCACTCAATGTCAAATTTCTGTCCTCCCTACCCTCCTAAGGAGGTAATTAGCAAGCAGGCATAATAGCAATTTAATAAGTGTGTCAAATTAGAAAGGCACTCATGGTTTACGGCATGCTGAGCCTGGTTGTGATCTGGGTCCGTGTCTGCTGGGCTGGGCTGTGTGACTGTGCTGCCGACCCCGTGAGGTCGCGACCCTGGCAGCCCCTCCCTCCGCCCCGGTGTAGAAGGAGCGAGCAGATTCTCCTCCCAGGGGGCAGAATCGCACTCCATTGGTGCCTGCAGTGCGCTTCTTGGCTGGGAGCTCCTGGGGCAGCACGAGTTCCTGCTGAGGCAATGGACGAGTCGAAAGGATTTACAGCAAGCCAGCAGCCACCTGCACCTCGGGATGCTCATGTGAGCGGCGCCTTGCTGCAGCACGGCACGGCAATGCTGGCGGCTGAGCGGAGCTCAGAGGGTGGTGGGGCTGCAGGAATGGGGCTGTGGGGTGAGGAGCAGCGCTGCCTGCGTTTGGCCGCTTCAGCAGGGGAAAAGCTGCTCATGTTGTCCTTGCAGGTGCTTCCCCTCCTTCCCACTCAAACCCTCTCTTTCTGAGGGAGGTAGGTGGTGGCACGGATGCTTGTGGCTGGCACACTGCTCAATTTCCTCCTCCCATTTCACAGCGGTGCTGAGAAGCAATTTCCTCCACCCTCTAACCCAGACCTGAAGGGCTTTTTCTTCTTGCGCTGCTGGGCAGTGCAGTGGATGCACGGGCAGGGAGGGGAGCGACGCTGCACAGTTTTGGGGCTCAGGGCTGGAGCTGAGCAGAGCTCTGCTCAGTGCATTCCTGCGTGGGGAAGGAGCGGGGAGAGGGGCTGGCTGGAGGTCACCCAACACAGCGCCCATTGTAACAGCCCCGGCTTGGCTACGGATGGAGCAGGGGGATGTAATCCCCCACGGTGGGCTCGGTCTGCCCACTGAACCCTGGTGGACAGGGGTTGGATGGAGCTGTGGGGCTGGGGGTCTCTTCCAAGCGGCTGAGCACAGGGAAACGTTGTGTGAGTGGGGACAAAGGTGCCTCTGTGCAAGATTCGGCCTCTCTCGGCCCACCCCGTCCCCGGCAGCCGCTGCGCCCGGGTGTAAGCAAAGAAGCGAGCAGCAGTTGGTGTGGCTGCATGTGCCCCATCAGCAGCCCTGCTCCCATGGCCCATTGGGGTGCCGGCACCTCTGCCCTCAGTCA